TAAAAATGGTAAATGGTAAATGGTAAATGGTAAAAATGGTTAAAACGTTAAATTCTTCATTAAACCGGTTAAATGTTCATTTTTTAAAAACGTTAAAATGTTCATTAAAACATTAAAATGTTCATTAAAACATTTAATTGTTCATTTTTAAAAATGTTAAAATGTTCATTAAAATGCTTAAATGTTAATTAAACCGTTAAATTCTTCATTAAAACGTTTAAATGTTCATTAACATGTTAAAATCTTCATTAAAACGTTAAATTCTTCATTAAAACGTTTAAATGTTCATTAAAAATGGTAAATGGTAAATGGTAAAAATGGTTAAAACGTTAAATTCTTCATTAAACCGGTTAAATGTTCATTTTTTAAAAACGTTAAAATGTTCATTAAAACATTAAAATGTTCATTAAAACGTGAAAATGTTCATTAAAATGTTACAAATCTTAATTAAAATGTTTAAATGTTCATTTTCAAAAACGTTAAAATGTTCATTAAAATGTTTAAATGTTCATTAAAACATTAAATTCTTCATTAAAACGTTTAAATGTTCATTTTTAAAAATGTTAAAATGTTCATTAAAATGTTTAAATGTTAATTAAACCGTTAAATTCTTCATTAAAACGTTTAAATGTTCATTTTTAAAAACGTTTAAAGGTTCATTAAAACATTAAATTCTTTATTAAACCGGTTAAATGTTCATTTTTTTAAGAACGTTAAAATGTTCATTAAAACATTAAAATGTTCATTAAAATGTGAAAATGTTCATTAAAATGTTACAAATCTTAATTAAAATGTTTAAATGTTCATCTTCAAAAACGTTAAAATGTTCATTAAAATGTTTAAATGTTCATTAAAACATTAAATTCTTCATTAAAACGTTTAAATGTTCATTTTTAAAAATGTTAAAATGTTCATTAAAATGTTTAAATGTTAATTAAACCGTTAAATTCTTCATTAAAACGTTTAAATGTTCATTTTTAAAAACGTTAAAATGTTCATTAAAACATTAAATTCTTCATTAAAATGTTTAAATGTTCATTTTTAAAAACGTTTAAAGCTTCAATAAAATGTTAAAATCTTCGTTTTTAAAAATGTTAAAATGTTCATTAAAACGTTTAAATGTTCATTAAAATGTTAAAATCTTCATTAAAACATTAAAATGTTCATTAAAACGTTAAAATGTTCATTAAAACAATAAATTCTTCATTAAAACATTTAAATGTTCATTTTTAAAAACGTTACAATCTTCATTAAAACATTTAAATGTCCATTAAAACATTAAATTCTTCATTAATAAGTTTAAATGTTCATTTTTAAAAATGTTTAAAGGTTCAATAAAATTTTAAAATCTTCATTTTTAAAAACATTAAAATGTTCATTAAAACGTTTAAATGGTCATTAAAATGTTAAAATCTTCATTAAAACATTAAAATGTTCATTAAAACGTTAAAATGTTCATTAAAACGTTAAAATGTTCATTAAAACAATAAATTCTTCATTAAAATGTTTAAATGTTCATTTTAAAAACGTTAAAAGGTTCATTAAAACGTTAAAATGTTCATTAAAACGTTAAAATGTTCATTAAAACGTTAAAGTCATCATTAAAATGTTTAAATGTTCACTAAAAATGGTAAATGGTAAATGGTAAATGGTAAAAATGGTTAAAACGTTAAATTCTTCATTAAACCGGTTAAATGTTCATTTTTTAAAAACGTTAAAATGTTCATTAAAACATTAAAATGTTCATTAAAATGTGAAAATGTTCATTAAAATGTTACAAATCTTAATTAAAATGTTTAAATGTTCATTTTCAAAAACGTTAAAATGTTCATTAAAATGTTTAAATGTTCATTAAAACGTTAAATTCTTCATTAAAACGTTTAAATGTTCATTTTTAAAAATGTTAAAATGTTCATTAAAATGTTTAAATTTTAATTAAACCGTTAAATTCTTCATTAAAACGTTTAAATGTTCATTAACATGTTAAAATCTTCATTAAAACGTTAAATTATTCATTAAAACGTTTAAATGTTCATTAAAATGTTAAAATGTTCATTAAAACGTTAAAGTCATCATTAAAATGTTTAAATGTTCATTAAAAATGGTAAATGGTAAATGGTAAATGGTAAAAATGGTTAAAACGTTAAATTTTTCATTAAACCGGTTAAATGTTCATTTTTAAAAACGTTTAAAGGTTCATTAAAACATTAAATTTTTCATTAAAACGTTTAAATGTTCATTTTTAAAAACGTTTAAAGGTTCATTAAACGTTAAAATGTTCATTTTTTGAAACAAGCAGTCTCCTTCTGACATCATAAAGAAACAATAAGTCTCCTTCTGACATCATAAAGAAACAAGCAGTCATGTAGAAACAAGCAGTCTACTTCTGATATCGTGTAGAAACAAGCAGTCTCCTTTTGATGTCATGTAGAAACAAGCAGTTTCCTTCTGACATCATAAAGAAACAAGCAGTCTCCTTCTGATATCATGTGGAAACAAGCAGTATCTTTCTGATATCATGTAGAAACAAGCAGTCACTTTCTGATATCATGTAGAAACAAGCAGTCTCCTTCTGACATCATAAAGAAACAAGCAGTCTTCCTCTGACATCATAAAGAAACAAGCAGTCTCTTTCTGATATCATGTAGAAATAAGCAGTCTCCTTCTGATATCAAGTAGAAAAAAGCAGTCTCCTTCTGACATCATAAAGAAACAAGCAGTCTTCCTCTGACATCATAAAGAAACAAGCAGTCTCTTTCTGACATCATAAAGAAACAAGAAGTCTCCTTCTGACATCATAAAGAAACAAGCAGTCTTCCTCTGACATCATAAAGAAACAAGCAGTCTCTTTCTGATATCATGTAGAAACAAGCAGTCACTTTCTGATATCATGTAGAAACAAGCAGTCTCCTTCTGACATCATAAAGAAACAAGCAGTCTTCCTCTGACATCATAAAGAAACAAGCAGTCTCTTTCTGATATCATGTAGAAATAAGCAGTCTCCTTCTGATATCAAGTAGAAACAAGCAGTCTCCTTCTGACATCATAAAGAAACAAGCAGTCTTCCTCCAACATCATAAAGAAACAAGCAGTATCTTTCTGATATCATAAAGAAACAAGCAGTATCTTTCTGACATCATAAAGAAACAAGCAGTATCTTTCTGATATCAGAACGAAACAAGCAGTCTCCTTATGACATCATAAAGAAACAAGCAGTCTTCCTCTGACATCATAAAGAAACAAGCAGTCTCTTTCTGATATCATGTAGAAAAAAGATATATATGTCTGATATATTTCACAATATATGTTTGCTTGTTGAATATAAATCTTCATTAAAACGTTTAAATGTTCATTTTTTAAAAACGTTAAAATGTTCATTAAAACACTAAAATGTTCATTAAAACGTGAAAATGTTCATTAAAATGTTACAAATCTTAATTAAAATGTTTAAATGTTCATTTTCAAAAACGTTAAAATGTTCATTAAAATGTTTAAATGTTCATTAAATTCTTCATTAAAACGTTTAAATGTTCATTTTTAAAAATGTTAAAATGTTCATTAAAATGTTTAAATGTAAATTAAACCGTTAAATTCTTCATTAAAACGTTTAAATGTTCATTTTTTAAAACGTTTAAAGGTTCATTAAAACATTAAATTTTTCATTAAAACGTTTAAATGTTCATTTTTAAAAACGTTAAAATGTTCATTAAAACATTAAATTCTTCATTAAAATGTTTAAATGTTCATTTTTAAAAATGTTTAAAGGTTCAATAAAATGTTAAAATCTTCGTTTTTAAAAACGTTAAAATGTTCATTAAAACGTTTAAATGTTCATTAAAATGTTAAAATCTTCATTAAAACATTAAAATGTTCATTAAAACGTTAAAATGTTCATTAAAACAATAAATTCTTCATTAAAACATTTAAATGTTCATTTTTAAAAACGTTAAAATCTTCATTAAAACATTTAAATGTCCATTAAAACATTAAATTCTTCATTAATAAGTTTAAATGTTCATTTTTAAAAATGTTTAAAGGTTCAATAAAATGTTAAAATCTTCATTTTTAAAAACATTAAAATGTTCATTAAAACGTTTAAATGGTCATTAAAATGTTAAAATCTTCATTAAAACATTAAAATGTTCATTAAAACGTTAAAATGTTCATTAAAACAATATATTCTTCATTAAAATGTTTAAATGTTCATTTTTAAAAATGTTAAAAGGTTCATTAAAACGTTAAAATCTTCATTAAAACGTTAAAATGTTCATTCAAACGTTAAAGTCATCATTAAAATGTTTAAATGTTCATTAAAAATGGTAAATGGTAAATGGTAAAAATGGTTAAAACATTAAATTCTTCATTAAACCGGTTAAATGTTCATTTTTTAAAAACGTTAAAATGTTCATTAAAACATTAAAATGTTCATTAAAACATTTAAATGTTCATTTTTAAAAATGTTAAAATGTTCATTAAAATGCTTAAATGTTAATTAAACCGTTAAATTCTTCATTAAAACGTTTAAATGTTCATTAACATGTTAAAATCTTCATTAAAACGTTAAATTCTTCATTAAAACGTTTAAATGTTCATTAAAAATGGTAAATGGTAAATGGTAAAAATGGTTAAAACGTTAAATTCTTCATTAAACCGGTTAAAGGTTCATTTTTTAAAAACGTTAAAATGTTCATTAAAACATTAAAATGTTCATTAAAACGTGAAAATGTTCATTAAAATGTTACAAATCTTAATTAAAATGTTTAAATGTTCATTTTCAAAAACGTTAAAATGTTCATTAAAATGTTTAAATGTTCATTAAAACATTAAATTCTTCATTAAAACGTTTAAATGTTCATTTTTAAAAATGTTAAAATGTTCATTAAAATGTTTAAATGTTAATTAAACCGTTAAATTCTTCATTAAAACGTTTAAATGTTCATTTTTAAAAACGTTTAAAGGTTCATTAAAACATTAAATTCTTCATTAAACCGGTTAACTCATTCACTGCCATTGACGACTAAAGTCGTCATTTTAAATACAACCGTTCACTGCCAATGACGATTTTAGTCGTCAATTACGTTTTTTAACGGGAGGTGGTAGGGAACAAGCTCGCGCACCCTGACAGTAAACACCAATCATCTAAAAATGATCTTCATCTGTGTGTGCGTCAGTGACGTGTCACGTGATCAGGAAGAAGCCGATCCATGAAATAGGAGCTGGTTTTAGGAAGCCACTATGCCTAAGGCGAGACGCAAAGCGGATAATCTTATGCAGCTCACACTTCAACAAAGTCTGTTTCGCGGTAGCAAAACTTTGCATCGTGTTCCTATCAAAAGAAAAGATGACAACCAACCCGGGCCAAGCGGAGACGAAAGGCATACGCCGCAACATGTTTCATCTGAGCCAGAGACAGCGATTTCAGCAGACAGTTCCGACTCGGATCATTTTAGCGAACCTGACCCAGATTCTTCAGATGAATGGTTGCCGTCTGGACCAACCGGGAGCAGCAGAGATTCTTCACCAGACGATAAAAGAAAAAATGAAGAAGGTAACGTAACAGCTAGCTAACAGCTAACGGCTGTGTTATTTGTTTGTTGTGATCGCGTCATTCTTTTCTCCCCGCTTTCCCGTCTCCCCTACTTTCATGAATGTCACAGTCTCCCCAACACTTGTTTCCAGCTTCTTTCTTTACAGATTTATAATGGAAATGGTTTGATTTTTGATTATTATTTGAAGATATTTTCAATTTACAGATCGTGCACCCAGAAAAGCTCCCCCTGCCACAACTAGTACTGCAAAGAAAAGAGGTTAGAGAGGCAAACAAACAAATAAATACATATAAAAACAAACAAATAAATAAATAATGTGTGTGTGTGTGTGTGTGTGTGTGTGTGTGTGTGTGTGTGTGTGTGTGTGTGTGTGTGTGTGTGTGTGTGTGTGTGTGTGTGTGTGATTATGATTACAGGTCGTGCATCAAGCAGGAGTCGAGGGCAGGATTTGGACTGGGATGAGGCTGGCTGGCAACCCAACAAGATGCCTTTCACTGCAACCTCTGGACCCAAAGATGCTGCTGCAGACCTAGACTGTGATGTGCCAGCTAAGTTCCTGGAGCTCTTCCTGACTGATGAGCTGCTTGATCATGTTGTGCATCAAACAAATCTGTATGCAAGTCAGTATCTTCAAGCACACCCTGACCTACCACAACATAGCAGAGGTAATGCTTGGAAGCCAGTGTCAGTCTCAGAACTGAAAACTTTCTTTGGACTAACTTTCCTGACTGGCTATGTCAAAAAACCAAGCACTGAAATGTACTGGAGTGTGGATGAGGTGGATGCCACACCTTATTTCAGCAAAACCATGTCAAGGAACAGGTTTCAGATTATATGGAAGTTTCTGCATTACAATGACAATGCAAATCTGGATGTGAATGACAAAATGTACAAAGTCCGCCCAGTGTTAGATTACATTGTGGAAAAATTCAAGCAGATGTATCAGCCAGACAAAAACATTTGCATTGATGAGGGTATGATGCTGTGGCGAGGGCGCTTATCTTTCAGGGTGTACAACCCACAAAAGCCTGTGAAATATGGAATCAAGTCCTACATATTGTGTGACTCTGCCACAGGTTATTGTTTCAACATGAGGCCTTATTTTGGGGAAGGTAGTAGTTTGCCAGACACCGTATTTTCTCTTCTTGATCGCCTTTCAGGTCATGGCTATACACTGTATATGGATAACTTCTACAATTCTGTAGCATTGTGTGAGCGCTTACTGGAAGCACAGACCAATGTCTGTGGAACACTGAGGAAGAATAGGGGGGAGCCTCAGGTCATCAGGGATTTGGTAAAAACCGATCTAGGGATTGGGGACAAAGTTGTGCGGCACAATGACAAAGTCATGGTAGTAGCATGGCAGGACAAACGATTAGTGAAGATGGTGACAACCTGCCACCAAGATGGGATGCAGAAAGTTGATGTGTGGCAGAAGGGGCACAAAGACAAGGTTGCTCAGTTCAAGCCAGAGTGTGTTGTTGCATACAACTCTCACATGAATGGAGTGGATAAGTTGGACCAAAACATTTCCTACTACCCCTTCATCCGCAGGTCGCTGAACTGGTCCAAGAAGTGTGTTGCCTATCTGTTCCAAATGTGCATGTTTAACGCCTATATCCTGTACCGAGCCAGAAACCCAGGGGGATGTAACACACTTTTGAAGTTCATTCGTAGTGTAGTGAAGTCCTGGACCTTGAAGGTACACGAGCGGAAAGGGAGTGAGGTGGGGGAACAGGTAGAGGAAGAGGAAGGAGCAGGTGTTGAGGATGGGGACTTGGAGGATGTCAAACATACTCTGAGGGCACCCTATAACACTGACCCAGAGAGCAGGCTAGATGGAGACCTTGGCAGACACAAACTCTGTTACCTGAAACCCACCAGTAAGAAGTTGAGACCAACAAAAAGATGTAGGGTCTGCATACGCAGAGGAACTCGCAGAGAGACGAAAATGATGTGCAAAGTCTGTTGTGTCCCCTTGCACGCAGGACAGTGTTATATAGATTACCACACCACAGTGAGATACTCTGTCTCTGTGCAGGGGTAGAAGTGTGCACACACACACACACACACACACACACACACACACACACACACACACACACACACACACACACACACACACGGGTATAACTACAACAGCACTTTCTGTAAGATTGCATGCCTGCAAATGAAATTGTTACCTTTGACAAAAATGATTATTTATTGTTATACATTTGTGAATAAACATCAAATTTCTTGTCAAAAACCATTTTATAGTTTGGTTTTTACTATTTTTACACAAGGTAACTGCTTTTGGGGTGTCTGAGGTGTAAAAAAAGCAAAGTATATTAGTGTCAAAGACAGTTTACTGCGTTACATCTCTCTTGACACAAAAAGCCTGTTTTCTCCGTTTTTGGTTCAGAAACAGGCATTTCTGGTGAAACCCACCTGTGTTCTACAGCAAATTGTGAAAGAACGGAAAAGGGTTAAAACGAGCCGTTTTCTCCTGATGAAAGAAGAGAGTTAACTCTTTCATTTGGTAGTTTTGGTGTTTGCATAGTCATAGAGCAAAATATTCTGTGACTCTTCAAAAAACAGTAAAAATACTGAAAATCGCTGGCAGTGAGGGGCTTTAGTGATCAGAAAACGGCTGGCAGTGAATGAGTTAAATGTTCATTTTTTTAAGAACGTTAAAATGTTCATTAAAACATTAAAATGTTCATTAAAACGTGAAAATGTTCATTAAAATGTTACAAATCTTAATTAAAATGTTTAAATGTTCATCTTCAAAAACGTTAAAATGTTCATTAAAATGTTTAAATGTTCATTAAAACATTAAATTCTTCATTAAAACGTTTAAATGTTCATTTTTAAAAATGTTAAAATGTTCATTAAAATGTTTAAATGTTAATTAAACCGTTAAATTCTTCATTAAAACGTTTAAATGTTCATTTTTAAAAACGTTAAAATGTTCATTAAAACATTAAATTCTTCATTAAAATGTTTAAATGTTCATTTTTAAAAATGTTTAAAGCTTCAATAAAATGTTAAAATCTTCATTTTTAAAAATGTTAAAATGTTCATTAAAACGTTTAAATGTTCATTAAAATGTTAAAATCTTCATTAAAACATTAAAATGTTCATTAAAACGTTAAAATGTTCATTAAAACAATAAATTCTTCATTAAAACATTTAAATGTTCATTTTTAAAAACGTTACAATCTTCATTAAAACATTTAAATGTCCATTAAAACATTAAATTCTTCATTAATAAGTTTAAATGTTCATTTTTAAAAATGTTTAAAGGTTCAATAAAATGTTAAAATCTTCATTTTTAAAAACATTAAAATGTTCATTAAAACGTTTAAATGGTCATTAAAATGTTAAAATCTTCATTAAAACATTAAAATGTTCATTAAAACGTTAAAATGTTCATTAAAACAATAAATTCTTCATTAAAATGTTTAAATGTTCATTTTTAAAAACGTTAAAAGGTTCATTAAAACGTTAAAATGTTCATTAAAACGTTAAAGTCATCATTAAAATGTTTAAATGTTCACTAAAAATGGTAAATGGTAAATGGTAAAAATGGTTAAAACGTTAAATTCTTCATTAAACCGGTTAAATGTTCATTTTTTAAAAACGTTAAAATGTTCATTAAAACATTAAAATGTTCATTAAAATGTGAAAATGTTCATTAAAATGTTACAAATCTTAATTAAAATGTTTAAATGTTCATTTTCAAAAACGTTAAAATGTTCATTAAAATGTTTAAATGTTCATTAAAACGTTAAATTCTTCATTAAAACGTTTAAATGTTCATTTTTAAAAATGTTAAAATGTTCATTAAAATGTTTAAATTTTAATTAAACCGTTAAATTCTTCATTAAAACGTTTAAATGTTCATTAACATGTTAAAATCTTCATTAAAACGTTAAATTCTTCATTAAAACGTTTAAATGTTCATTAAAATGTTAAAATGTTCATTAAAACGTTAAAGTCATTATTAAAATGTTTAAATGTTCATTAAAAATGGTAAATGGTAAATGGTAAATGGTAAAAATGGTTAAAACGTTAAATTCTTCATTAAACCGGTTAAATGTTCATTTTTAAAAACGTTTAAAGGTTCATTAAAACATTAAATTTTTCATTAAAACGTTTAAATGTTCATTTTTAAAAACGTTTAAAGGTTCATTAAACGTTAAAATGTTCATTTTTTGAAACAAGCAGTCTCCTTCTGACATCATAAAGAAACAATAAGTCTCCTTCTGACATCATAAAGAAACAAGCAGTCATGTAGAAACAAGCAGTCTACTTCTGATATCATAAAGAAACAAGCAGTCTAATTCTGACATCATAAATAAACAAGCAGTCTACTTCTGATATCATAAAGAAACAAGCAGTCTCCTTCTGACATCATGTAGAAACAAGCAGTTTCCTTCTGATATCATAAAGAAACAAGTAGTCTCCTTCTGATATCATGTAGAAACAAGCTGTCTTCTTCTGACATCATAAAGAAACAAGCAGTCTAATTCTGACATCATAAAGAAACAAGCAGTCTCCTTCTGACATCATGTAGAAACAAGCAGTCTCCTTCTGATATCATGTAGAAACAAGCAGTCTCCTTCTGATATCATGTAGAAACAAGCAGTCTCCTTCTGACATCATAAAGAAACAAGCAGTCTAATTCTGACATCATAAAGAAACAAGCAGTCTCCTTCTGATATCATGTAGAAACAAGCAGTCTCCTTCTGATATCATGTAGAAACAAGCAGTCACCTTCTGATATCATGTAGAAACAAGCAGTCTCCTTTTGATATCATGTAGAAACAAGCAGTCTAATTCTGACATCATAAAGAAACAAGCAGTCTCCTTCTGATATCATGTAGAAACAAGCAGTCTCCTTCTGACATCATAAAGAAACGAGCAGTCTCCTTCTGATATCATGTAGAAACAAGCAGTCTCCTTCTGACATCATAAAGAAACAAGCAGTCTAATTCTAACATCATAAAGAAACAAGCAGTCTCCTTCTGACATCATGTAGAAACAAGCAGTCTCCTTCTGACATCATAAAGAAACAAGCAGTCTTCCTCTGACATCATAAAGAAACAAGCAGTCTCTTTCTGACATCATAAAGAAACAAGTAGTCTCCTTCTGACATCATAAAGAAACAAGCAGTCTTCCTCCAACATCATAAAGAAACAAGCAATCTCTTTCTGATATAAAGAAACAAGCAGTATTTTTCTGACATCATAAAGAAACAAGCAGTATTTTTCTGATATCAGAAGGAAACAAGCAGTCTCCTTCTGATATCATAAAGAAACAAGCAGTATCTTTCTGATATCAGAAGGAAACAAGCAGTCTCCTTCTGACATCATAAAGAAACAAGCAGTCTTCCTCCAACATCAGAAACAAGCAGTCTCTTTCTGATATCATGTAGAAACAAGCAGTCTCCTTCTGACATCATAAAGAAACAAGCAGTCTTCCTCTGACATCATAAAGAAACAAGCAGTCTCTTTCTGATATCATGTAGAAACAAGATATATATGTCTGATATATTTCACAATATATGTTTGCTTGTTGAATATAAATCTTCATTAAAACGTTTAAATGTTCGTTTTTTAAAAACGTTAAAATGTTTATTAAAACATTAAATTCTTCATTAAAATGTTTAAATGTTCATTTTTAAAAACGTTTAAAGGTTCAATAAAATGTTAAAATCTTTGTTTTTAAAAACGTTAAAATGTTCATTAAAACGTTTAAACGTTCATTAAAATGTTAAAATCTTCATTAAAACATTAAATTCTTCATTAATAAGTTTAAATGTTCATTTTTAAAAATGTTTAAAGGTTCAATAAAATGTTAAAATCTTCATTTTTAAAAACATTAAAATGTTCATTAAAACGTTTAAATGGTCATTAAAATGTTAAAATCTTCATTAAAACATTAAAATGTTCATTAAAACGTTAAAATTTTCATTAAAGAGCGGGTCAATTGAGCCTCGGAGTCCTTCTCCACCCACGTATCAATTTAAAAAAATGCAACATTAGTAGGCGTTGCCTGGAGGACCGAGAGGGCGGAGCCGCGGCAGTGACGAAGACGACGGCTAACTAGACGATGCTAGCTCCCTTCACTCTATGCAGTTATTAGAAGTGGAGGATGTTTCTCCCCCTCCTTACCCAGACACTCGAGAAGAAAGGGACCAAATCTATTTGGAGGAGACAAGCGGACCTGAGCCTTATTGTTGTGAGCTTGTGAGTTGCCTGTAACTCCCAGAACCAACCCAACAGAACCACCTCTGAACGTAAGTAGCCGTTAGCCATAGCATTGGATTAGCTGCTGGGTTTGTCTCCACGGCTCTAGAGCTAGTATTCAGCATGTTTTAGAGGTTTATCTGCTTCAGCACACCTGGTTTTAATCAGCAACAAATAGCTGAGCTGCTTAACAGTTAATCTAACCTGTTAAAGCAGGAAAATCCACTGAAACATGCTGGATAGCAGCTCTCCGGTAGCTCTGGGCTCAAGTTACAGTCTGCTGCATAAAGTTATGAAAATGCCCCATGAGAAAATTATTCTGTAATGTGTTCAGCTCACTAAAACTGCCCTGATTTATTTATTTACTGATAACAGCTGCTCTCTTGGTTCTAGGTCCTCTGGTGTCTGCAGCTGGTCTCTGGTGTCTGCAGGTGGTCTCCTCTGCTGGTGCCATCAGGATCAGGAGCTTCCAGAAGAATGTGCCTTTCAATGACTCTTTCCCCCTTATTTGTTATATTAATTAAATAAATCTCAATTTATATATTTCCTGTTTTTGTTCATGTCCATAAATACTTAAACTTGCTTGAAATTAAAACGAGCTTTTAACAGTGAGGTGCTAGTTTAATTCATCACAATAGAGCAAGTTAAACATGCATTGTGATAATTCAATTAATGTAATTTATAAATATCCATTAAAATATCAAAACTGGAATCTATATGAGATATTTGGCAGCACAAAAAAACTTGTCAAACACAATATTTATTATGATAATTGTGGGCAGACAGGAGACAGAGCTGATGGAGGTTCTCAGTCATCAAAGGATGGCTGAAGGCTTTCCAGGAACAGGAGATGTGGTGTTGTCTCTTCTCTCTCTATTCTGCCAGATGAGCTGATAGGTTACAGGTGTGTGAGGACATCCTCATGCTGTCATAACCAGATGACAGGAGTTATCAGGTGATCAGCCAGGCTAATGAGATGCAGAAAGAAAACAAATTCAGGACAGTGTACAAT